TGTGGCAGCAGGGGCCATCAGGGACCTTGCCCCTGGAAGGCTGTGTCAGCTTTCCCAAGCTGGTTGTTGTCTGGGTGAGAAGTTTGGGGCTTCACGTCTGACCCAACATTCACACTGGAATCACCAGTTTGCTCTGGTGAAATGAGATGTTACAAGTCACAGTCTTACTGGAGAGAATTAGTTTTCAAGCCTGAGGTTGTCTCAAAGCAATACCTTTTGCTGAGTGATAGTAGACAGCACAGAGGTCACTCCTGCTTAGCTGCAGACAGCCTAAGTCTCCCTTGAAACGGACAGGAAAACTGTTCACCCAGTCTCCCATGAGAGCTCCTCTGCAGGCTTTGTTCCCTTCCCTGGGCTGCTTTCCATGTACACTGACAAGAAAGGGATGGAGAGGGAGGAAAGGACCCTCGCACATCCTGCATTTCTCTTCCAGGAGCCTGTGAAGCTTCACTAAATATTGGGCCCACCGTTTTGTTTCTATGGAAACACAATTATTACTAATGTGTTATTTCAGAAGCAGACGATTGACACTCCAAATATAGAATTTTAATACCATTCTGCACCTGCCTTGTCTCTCAGGGCAGAGCGGAGGCGAGGGTGGAGTTCACAAAGGGGCAGGACTGGCGAGGGTGCCCGGGTGGCGATGGCAGGGCAATGGTAGGTGTGTGTGTGTAACCTGAGAGCAGGCACAGGCTGTCCCTTCAGCTCCCTTCTTGCAGGTCTGTCCCACTCCTTTCCAACCCCCCACCCCTGCGGCCAGCGTGGGGAGCCGCGTTTCCCACCTGCTGTTGAGGAAGATGAAGAATGCAAATTAGCGACCGGGTCCCAGGGCAAGAGGGAACACTTGAAGTATTATTTAAAAACCGGTGATGGCACTGTATGTTTTTTGACGCTGTCTCTCATAGTTTGGGATCCTGGAAGGTCTGTGCCTCGCAGGCCTCAAGGGTCCTTTCGCACAGCACCTGCTCTCCATCCGGCAGGTGCCAGGCTTCGCTGCCAGCCAGGGAGCAGCGCCGCGGCCGGTCGGCGTTCTCCTCCTCCCGGCTGCCGAGGGAGAGGCGGCGA